GTGTGTGTGTGTGTGTGTGTGTGTGTGTGTGCGCGCGCGCTTGGGTGTATGTGTAGGCTGCAGTTACCATGTGCCCATGGAAAAGAATGGGCTAAATGATAGGGGAGTCAAGATTTTTAGTATCTATAGATTGCTTGAACTTGAATCTCTGGGCTACAGTCTTGGCGTGCTGGAGATGCTGGAGGAAGTTTTATGTGATCAGTCATTGGACTGATCATTTCTTTTCACTAAGTCATTTCTACCCATTGGGGTTCCTACTTACATCCCTACCCCAAGACAGTAAATCAAAAGCTGGTTCCTTTCCCCCTCCGTGCACACACACACTGCCATCAAGCCCTTTCTACCAGCTTCATGGCTAATTGAAAATGAGAATCTCTGGCTCCACTTTTGCCTTCAGTGTAATGGAGTCATCGACCGGCTGGGCCCCCTCCCCTTCTCTCCCCCATTTTTATCTCTCTGGGAACTGCTGGACTCGCACGGTTGTCCCCTCCCATTGTGTGGTGGATGTCTTCCAAGAGAAAAACAGGAGCCAGGCTTCTGAGCACACAGCATGAGAGCAAGGAGAGATGAGGCCAGGGGACGTGGACATGATTTTGAAACAAATGGCCTGTTAAGAGGCAAAACAGCAAAACCACCTACAGAAGCTTAAATTCAGCACATGCTCCCTAACGGAAAAGCAGTGCTGGGAAGCCAAGGGTCCAAGCCCATGGAACGGTTGATGCTCTGACTTCTTTCAGTTGGCTGCGGATAGATCCCAAAGCAAAGTTTATTTGATTTATTTGATTTAGACCCTGCCTTTCCACTCTGGCAAGGAGTGATAAATTTTGATGATGTATTTGACAACCGAACACCCAGAGTGGTATCTCTGCCAATGTGAAACCAAGCTCTGGGAAAGAAAGAAGGTGGTTACTGATATTGCTTTGTTAGGGCTGGGAAGCTCCTGTTCCCTTTGCAGGGTGAGATGAAATCATCTAGATCAGGGTTTTTCAACCTTGGCAACTCTAAGATGTGTGGACTTCAACTCCCAGAATTCCCCAGCCAGCGTGGGTCCCCGCATCTTATAGTTGCCAAGGTTGAAAAACCCTGATCTAGCTGATTTCATCTCACCCTGCAGAGGGAACAGGAGATTCCCAGCCCTAACAATGCGAGATGAGTAAGCACCTTCTTTCTTTCCCAGAGCTTGGTTTCACATTGGCAGAGATACCACTCTGGGTGTTCGGTTGTCAAATACATCATCAAAATTTATCACTCCTTGCCAGAGTGGAAAGGCAGGGTCTAAATCAAATAAATCAAATAAACGTTGCTT